TGTTAAACCTGACCTAGATTCTTGAGCAAGCCACTGTTAAGCTTGCAGGCCTGTGGCATTTGATCATGTCAATGAACTTGAATGTGGCTGCTGTGTCACTTCCCTGGGGGTCAAGTTGGTCTTTCTTCACACATAGTAGCTCATACTTTTGCTCACTCCACATACATTTGACATTGATAATTTGGAAATATTTCACTTATCTGTTCTTTCTTTTGCAATTCAAGTTCACATGGGGCTTCTGGTTACATCCCTACTATTAGCATTGATAGGTTCCAAGGAAGAGAACTGAATGATGTTTAAATTGTACCAGTTACAATCCTCCAGATTTAAGTCACTTGGCCAGAGATTATGGTTACAACAGTGTGATAGCAGCCATTTTTTAAAGAGAGTCACCTAAATCCTAAGTACTGGTACTTGATTGAGACTTTCACAGTGAACTTTGCTTAAAATCAGGATACTGTCTTATTCTGTTCATTCAGATTTCTTTATTCCTTTTTTTTTATTCATATGTGCATACAATGCTTGGGTTATTTCTCCCCCCTTCCCCCAAACCCCCTTCCCCTCCCACTCCTTCCCTTACCCACCCTAACCCCCTCACTACCCAGCAGAAACTATTTTGCCCTTATCTCTAATTTTGTTGAAGAGAGAGTATAAGCAATAATAGGAAGGAACAAGGGGTTTTGCTGGTTGAGATAAGGATAGCTATACAGGGAGTTGACTCACATTGATTTCCTGTGCGTGTGTTACCTTCTAGGTTAATTCTTTTGATCTAACCTTTTCTCTAGTTCCTGTCCCCTTCTCCTATTGGCCTCAGTTGCTTTAAGGTATCTGCTTTAGTTTCTCTGCATTAAGGGCAACAAATGCTAGCTAGTTTTTTAGGTGTCTTACCTATCCTCACCCCTCCCTTGTGTGCTCTCGCTTTATCATGGTCAAAGTCCAATCCCTTGTGTTTGCCTTGATCTAATGTCCACATATGAGGGAGAACATACGATTTTTGGTCTTTTGGGCCAGGCTAACCTCACTCAGAATGATGTTCTCCAATTCCATCCATTTACCAGCGAATGATAACATTTGTTCTTCTTCATGGCTGCATAAATTCCATTGTGTATAATACCACATTTTCTTAATCCATTCGTCAGTGGTGGGGCATCTTGGCTGTTCCATAACTGGCTATTGTGAATAGTGCTGCAATAAACATGGGTGTGCAGGTGCCTCTGGAGTAACCTGTGTCACATTTTGGTATATCCCAAGAGTGGTATTGCTGGATCAATATGGTAGATCAATGTTTTAGATTTTTAAGTAGCCTCCAAATTTTTTCCAGAGTGGTTGTACTAGTTTACATTCCCACCAAGCAGTGTAAGAGGGTTCCTTTTTCCCCACATCCTCGCCAACACCTGTTAGTGGTGTTGCTAATGATGGCTTTCTAACGGGTGAGGTGGAATCTTAGTGTGGTTTTAATTTGCATTTCCTTTATTGCTAGAGATGGTGAGCATTTTTCATGTGTTTTTTGGCCATTTGAATTTCTTCTTTGAGAAAGTTCTTGTTTAGTTTCACTTGCCCATTTCTTTATTGGTTCATTATTTTGGAGAATTTAGTTTTTAAGTTCCCTATATATTCTGGTTATCAGTCCTTTGTATATGATGTATAGCTGGCAAATATTTTCTCCACTCTGTGGGTGGTCTCTTCAGTTTAGAGACCATTTCTTTGTTGAGACAGAAGCTTTTTAGTTTTATGAGTCCATTTATCTATGCTATCTCTTAGTGCTTGTGCTGGCTGTTCATGAGAAAGTTCTTCCTATATACTTCCGAGTATTTCCTACTCTTTCTGTATCAACTTTAAGAGTTTGTGGTCTGATATTAAGATCCTTGATCCATTTTGAGTTAATATTGGTATAGGGTGATATACATGGATCTAGTTTCAGTTTTTTGCAGACTGCTAACCATTTTCCCAGCAGTTTTTGTTGAAGAGGCTGCTATTCTCCATCGTATATTTTTAGCTCCTTTGTCAAAGACAAGTTGGTTATAGTTGTGTGGCTTCAATATCTGGTCCTCTATTCTGTTCCACTGGTCTTCATGTCTGTTTTTGTGCCAGTACCATGCTGTTTTTATTGTTATTGCTTTGTAATATAGTTTGAAGTCAGGTATTGTGATACCTCCATTGTTCTTTTGAGTATTGCCTTGGCTATTCGGGCCTCTTGTGTTTCCATATAATTTAACAGTTTTTCAATCTCTTTGATGAATGTCATTGGAATTTGATGGGAATTGCATTAAACATGTAGATTACTTTTGGGAGTATAGACATTTTTACTATGTTGATCTACCAATCCATGAGCATGGGAGATCTCCCACTTTCTATAGTCTTTCCTCATCTCTTTCTTCAGAGTTATATAGTTTTCCTTGTAGAGGTCGTTCACATCTTTGTTAGGTTTACACCTAGGTATTTGATTTTTTTTGAGGCTATTGTAAATGGCATTGTTTTCATTATTCTTTCTCAGTTTGTTCATTATTGTAGTGTATAGAAATGCTAATGATTTTTCTATGTTGATTTTATTATCCTGCTACTTGCTATAGCTATTGATGTGTCTAGGAGCTTTTGAGTAGAGTTTTTTGGGGTCTTTAGGTATAGGATCATGTCGTCTCAAATAGGGATATTTTGACAGTTTCTTTACCTATTTGATTCCTTTTATTCCTTCTTCTTGCCTAATTGCTCTGGCTAGGAATTCCAGTACTATGTTGAATAGGAATGGAGAGTGGGCATCCTTGTCTGGTTCCTGATTTTAGAGGGAATGGTTTCAGTTTTTCTCCATTAAGTATAATGCTGGCTGTAGGTTTGTCATATATACTTTTATAATGTTGAGGTACTTTCCTTCTATTCCTAGTTTTCTTGAGGCTTTTATCATGAAATGGTGTTGGATCTTATCAAAGGCTTTTTCTGCATCTATTGAGATGATCAGTGGTTTTTGTCTTTGCTTCTGTTAATGTGGTTTATTACGTTTATTGATTTTCGTATTGTTGAACCACCCCTGCATTCCTGGGATGAAGCCTTACTTGGTCGTGGTGAATAATCTTTTGATGTGTTGTTGAATTCGTTTTGCCCATTAATTTTATTGAGGATTTTTGCATCAATGTTCATTAAGGAATTGCCTATAGTTCTCCTTTTTGGAAGGTATCTTTGCCGGTTTGGGGATAAGTGTAATACTGGCTTGATAAAATGTTAGTTAATATAGGCTTTTAGGGCCTCAGGGTTTATGTTGTGATGAAATTGGGTGCATTGACATTGGTGCATATAGGTTGGATAATGTTATTTCCTTTTGGTCTATTTCCCCTTTATTAAGTATGGAATGTCCTTCTTTATCTTGTTTGATCAATGTAGGTTTGAAGTCTACTTTGTCAGAGATAAAGTATTGCTACTCCTGCCTGTTTTGGGGGCCATTGGCTTGGTAAATCTTCACCTTTCATCCTAAGCCTATGCTTATTTCTTTGGTGAGATGGGTCTCCTGTAAGCAACAAAATTGTTGGATTCCTTTTAATCCAGTTATCAAATGGTTGCCTTTTGATGGGGGAATTAAGTCCATTAACATTAAGTGTTAGTAGAATAGGTATGTGGTTGATTCCTGTCATTTAGTTGTCTTAGTTGTTTGAAGGTTTGATTTGTGTGTACCTAGTTGAGGTTACTCTCTACTTTCTTGCTTTTTCTTTTCCTTAGTTGGTGGTGCTGCCTGCCCTTTCATGGTTATGTTGGGTTTCACTTTCTGTGTGCAGAATCCCTTGAAGAATCTTTTATAGTGGTCTTGTGGTCACATATTGTTTAGTTCTGCTTATCATGGAAGACTTTTATTGCTCCATCTATTTGAATGATAGTTTTGCTGGTAGAGTATTCTAGGGTTGAAAGTTATTTTCATTCAGTACCCGGAAGACCTCACCCAAGCTCTTCTTGCTTTTAATGTTTCTGTTGAGAAGTCTGCTGTGATTTTGATGGAGTTTCCTTTGTATGTTATTTGTTTTTTCTCTCTTACAGCCTTCAATATTTTTTCTCAGTCTCTGTACTTGTTGTTTTAATGATAATTATGGTGTGGTTTATTCTATTTGGTCTGGTCTTTGGTGTTCTGGAGGGCCTCTGCATCTGTATTGGGCATAGATTTTCTCTAGATTTGGGAACATTTTTCTGTTAATTATTTTTGTTGAATATATTATGCATTCCTTTCTTGCAACCTCTTCTCCTTCTTCAATGCCATTTTTCAGGTTGGTCTTTTGATGGAGTCAGAGTTCTTGCATTTTCTTTTCACAGGTCTTGAGTTGTTTAACTAATATTTCTTTCAGTTTTTCCTTTAATTACCATTTCATCTTCAAAGTTCTGAGATTCTGTCTTCTGCTTGTTCTATTCTGCTGATTGCCTTCCATTTGTTTTGCATTCTTGTTTCATTCTTTTTTCTGAGGTTTCCATATCCTGAGTCTTTCCTCTTTAATATTGTCTATTTTGTCCTGAGTTCATTTATCTCTTTATTAATTGTTGTTCTTTGTTCACTTGGATGGTTATGCAGTGCTTCTATGGTTTCTTTTATTTGTTCTTGTGCTTTTCTCAAATTCTCTATTTTGTTGTCTTGGAATATCTTGATGTCTCCTTTACATTTTGGTTGACCATATCCAATATCATCTGTAAAATTCTCATTGAGTACCTGGTAGATTATTCTTCTTTAGATATTCTTGTTGGCTTCATAGGTTCTTTGCATAGTTTATCTTCGTTTTGTTGGAGCCTGGATCGAGTATCTGTTTTCTTCATTTCCCTCTGGTCCTGTACTAATTTTTTGCTATGGGGGAAACTGGTTTCCCTCTT